TGTGAGCTTATATTTAAGAGAAAATGTAGTCACTAGAATCAAACCAATAGATGATTCAACTATTGGAATTAGCAAAGATTTTAAAACAATTGTTATATTTTAAAATGTACAGGAAAAGTAGATTGCAATTAATGAAGAAACAGAGTTTTCTTAGGGAAAAAATTTAGAAACATTAAAAAGAGCCAAATGGAACATTATAGGACTACAGGAATATAATAAAGTATTTACTAAAGAAAATGAAGAACAACAAGTTAGTCATAAACATGTACTGTTCAGATTCCCTACTCTGGGGAGAAAGGTTGACTGATAGCACAGTTACTGTTTCTGTGCATCTATTGTATCATTCTCACCAAGACAAGACTCTACAGGCTGATCCAGCCAATAGCTGAGAATGATAGAGGCATTAATGCAAGCCCATTCCTGTGAGCTGCCGGATGTCTCCAATGAGTGACTTTGATTAAGAAATTCCCATCAATCTGGCAAAACTGTTTTTAGACCTTTGCAGCCATCCTAGACTTTACACAACCCTCCTTCCTTTCTCTTCTCTCCCACAGGTATGAAACTTTAATCATGGTCTGAAGGTTTTCTCTACTTTCTTCTGTTCCCTCCTCTTTAATCCTTCACAGACATTTCCGAAATATATCTTTTGGAAGTCTAACCCCATCTTTGCATCTGATACTCAGTGGATCCAAACTAATAAAAGATTGTACACTTCAGAAGGCAGTAAAAATGAACTTGAAATAAATTAGTAGAGATTTTGTAGCCTGAATCTCAGAGATGAAGATGATTGAAAGGAAAAAAAAGGCCAGGTACAGTGGCTCACTTCTTTAATCCCAACATATCTGTAGGCCAAGGTGGGAGGATCACTTGAGGCCAGGAGTTCAAGATCAGCCTGGGCAACATAGCGAGACCATATTTCTACAAAGAAAAAGTTTAAAAATTAGCCAGGATTGGTGGTGCATACCTGTAGTCATAGCTACTCAAGAGGCTGAGGCAGGAGGATTGCTTGGATCCTGGAGTTCAGGGCTGCAGTGGGGTATAAACATGTTACTGCACTCCAGCCCAGGCAACAGAACAAGACCCTGTCTCATGGAAGGAAGGAAGGAAGGGAGGAAGGAAGGGAGGGAGGGAGGGAGGGAGGGAGGATCAATGTTCCAAAGGATCAAATTAACTGGTCTAGTGCACTTGAAGTCTCAGAATGAAAGGAGAAAGAGAAATGTTTAAAGAGGTAATGGCTGAGAAGCCTTCAAATTTTATTAGAAATAGCCACCCCAGGAGCAAAAAACTCAATAAATATCAAGCAGAATGAGCACAAGCCAAATAATAAAGAAGTACATTATGGTCAAATTGCTGAAAACCCAGTAAAAGATAAAATCTTCAACAATAGAAGAGGCGACCGTACACAGAGGGAATAACGATGGGGAGGCTCTCTGGCTTTTCATCAAAAGCAAAGTAAGCCAGACTGCGATGGAGCAACAGCTTTGACATGCTGAAGACGGGAAATGGTCGGTCTGGAGTTTTATAACCAGAAGAGCTGCCCTTTATTTGTGGGGATGAGATGGAGTTGTTTTCTGATTATCAAGGCTGAGATAGTTTATTGTCAGAAGACCCATACTACAGAGGATGTTAAAGAGGGACTTTAGATTGTGCAAAGATGGTGGAAGATAAAGGATCAGATCCAGAAGGAACACTGAGGAGCACCAGGGATCATAAATTTGAACGTTTTCTTTTTCTTTTATTTCAACTTAGTTGGTGGAAAGTAAACCGCTAAAAGCAAAACCTATGACAATATTTTGTAGAGTTTGTAACGTATGTAGAAGTAAAATATATGTAGATCATGGCACCCAAGGCCAGAGGAGATGGTTGGAGCCATATTGTTATAGGATTGTTACTTTTTTTATGAGGTAGTGTAATATTATTTCAGACTAGACAGTGGAGGGGAGTAATGTATATTATGATCCTACAACAACTACTAGGGAAATAAAACAAAGAGTTGAGATAAGAAAAAAACATAAAAATAATGAACTGTAATAACAATAAGGCTTTTTTTAACCATGATCCACAATAAATATTTTATTTATTTAGTTCGTTATTGATTAGAGACAGTCTTGCTCTGTCACCCAGGCTGGACTTAGGTAATGTGATCATAGCTCACTGCAGCCTTGGACTCCTGGACTCAAGCAATCCTCCTACCACAACCTCCTGAGTAGCTGGCACTACAGGGGTCTCATTACACTGATGGGGGACTCATTACACTGTCCAGGCTGGTCTTGAACTCCTGACCTCAAGCAATCCTCCCACCTTGGACTCCCAAAGTATTGGTAATACACCCATGAGCCATCATGCCCAGCCAGAAATATTTTATATTGCTACCAACTACACAAGTGTTCCACAACTCTCGCATAGGCATAAACATATAATACAGAATACATTATTCAAAGCAGTATTTATGATTACCAAGTGTAATGCATATTTTCTATTCTATTTCAGTTTTTAACATCAACTATGACATATTGAATCAATTTTTACTACCAAACTCCTGCACTGGATCACAACTTGCAATTGGAAAAACACTTTTGTATAGTCTCTGCTGTCAGATCATTTACTTCTTAATTTCTTTAATTTTTTTTTCTTGTGACTTGATTTTCACCAGGAAAGGATCTCATGCATAACATAAGCTATCCCCATTTTAGAAATGAGTAAGCAGACTTGAATAATTTAACTAACATTCTTAAGACCACAGGCTAGTCAGTAGAAAAAGTCAGATTTCAGTGTAGATAAAAATGTAAGAAATTCAACTGCAGAGCTCATAAGCACTGTACCATACTCTCTCCATCTTGATCACTAAATTTGGGGACCTGGGTATCACTAATGGGTGCCCGTACTTATACACATTTTTCTTGGGATAAAAGACTAGTTTTCATCTGTAACCTTTAAAAAGCAACTGAAGAATCACAATACTATAGTGTTCTGCCCTAGTTTACTGCCCTGGTTTGTTTTTTCATGCCATACAACTAAGATCTGTTCGCATTATTTGAGCAGGCACTTTTGAATGCTCCAGTCACTTAACCATGATAGAACTCTAACCTGCAAAGCTTCACATCTTATACTTTCCTTTGTATATGCTATTGGTAAGTGGGTGGCAACAGAAATCTACAAACATATAAAAGAGAAACTTTAATCTACTGAGGCTGTTTTTCAACTCTAAGATTCTGTAAACCTATAATTGTAATCAAGGGCCCAGCCACCTGCTATTCTATAATGAAGCCACAAGATAGGCAGTTGTCTAAATTGCTCAGAAAGATATACAAAGACAGGGGTTCCTTTGTTTCTTTGTTAGTCTTCCCTGGAGTTTTGCAAGACCTAATGTTAATTAGAGTCTCTTAGTGCAATTTAACCATATTCCTCTCAGTGTATTGTCTATCATAGAGACAGAATAATTTAGCTTTCCTTAGGATAATCCTTTTTTCATATACTTGTATACTTAAGGGCAACTATTTATCTATTCACCATTTAGCTTTTTCCTCTCTAGACTAAATAAATATAATCTCCTTAATTTTCCCTCACTGGTTTGATTTTCTTCATAATTATTTTTGTAATGCTCCTTAGGAAACCCTAATTTCTACGTGTGCATTTTAAAGGGTGGATTCCTATATTGATCACATTACTAAGGGCCTGACCAGTACCAAGTATGCCTGGATGATCTGCAGCTCTTGCGGGCTGTGCTTTCTAACAGAAAGCTGAGTACAGGCTGAGCATCCCTAATATGAAAATTCTAAATACAAAATCCTCCAAAATCTGAAATTTTTTGAGGGTCAACATGATGCCACAAGTAGAAAATTCCACATCTGACCTCATGTCAAAACTCTGTTAGATGCATGATATTATCAAAAAATATTGCATGAAATTACCTACCGGTTATGTGTACATGGTCTATAATAAATTTCATGTTTAGACTTGGGTCCCATCCCCAAGATAACGCCTTATGTATATGCAAATATTCCCAAAACCTGCAAAAAACTTCTGTTCCCAAGCATTTTGAATGAGGGATACTCATCTGTATTATGTTAACACTTCCGAAAGCATTACTGCCAGTTACTGGACTGCCAATATCTAAGGTTGAATCTCATTCACACAAACTGCCATGAGCCAACTGAACCAATACCCTATATTCTCCTATTAAAAATATCTGCTCATATGCTTTTAAGACATTTAGATTTCTTCTTTTATTATTGAATTCTCTTCCTTTTGGTTTGGGGGTTTCACTTTTATATTTCTCTATTGTGACATTATTAGTTTCATGGATTTCAAGAGTGCCCTTTATATTAAGGATTTTAACTCTTTGGTGGTTTCATATATTTTTAAGTTTGTATGCAATCAAACGTACTGCCAATTTTTTCTTTGCTTTTTATTCCATTTTTTTTTCAAAGTCCTGATTTCAAGCCCAAGATCAATGAATAATTATCTGTTTTAACTTTTTCAGGATTTCACACTTTTTTGCAATCAACATTTTAATTCTACAGCATTAACTTTGGTATTTATCTTAGCGTAGGATATGGTTTAAAAAAAAAACCCGACATATTTGTGTGTGAGAGAGAATTTGCCAGATTTTCCAATTCATACTTTTTCCGTTGGTTTGTGCACTTTCCTTATCATATTTGAAATTCTTACATTAAAATATATGCTTCAGGATTACCTGTTAATCAAATTATGAATATACTTTATATATATATAATATATATATAAAGGCTTTATATATTATATACAGAAACAAACCCTTCAGTCAAAACATAGGCAAAGACAATTCACAAAAGAAGAAAGAAAATTCCCAACAAACATGAAAAGATTCAATTTTATAAGAAATCAAAAAATTATATACAGCATTTTTAAAAATTATATCAGCAAAAGTTCTTTCAAAATTGTTAAAATGTTGATTGTTTAAAATTGTACAACTTCAAACACTGCTGTTGGTGCTCTTTTTACTAAGATTTTCTTTTGATAACTTTTAAACCAGTAGAAAATCTAAAAGTATAGTAAAATGAACACTCATGTACCCCTCACCTATTCTATGTGTCAACTTCCCTGAGCCAAGTGGAGCCCAAATTAAACATTTCTGAGTTTCAGGCTTCCTGATGAGATTGATATTTGAATCAGTGGCCTCAGTAAAGAGAACTTGCCCTGCCTCAGTGGGGGTGAGCCTGATCCAACCAACTGAGGGCCTTTGCCTTTCTACCTAAGAGAACAAAGAGCGAAGGTCGATTTCAGTCTTTTTGCTTCCTACCTGCCTGCTTGAGTTGCACACTGATCTTCTGCCCTTGGGCTTATACAGTATTGGCACCATCAACTTTTCTGGTTCTCAGGCCTTGAGGCATGGATTGGAATTACACTATGGGCTTTCCTTGGTCTCCAGTTTGTAGATGGCAGATTTGAGATCTCTTAGCCCCCATAATTGCATGAGCCAATTCCTCATAATAAATCTTTATAGATATGTGGGAGTGTGGGTGTGTATACATACATACATACCCACACACACACATATACATATTATTGGTTCTATTTCTTTGACAAACCCTAATGTGTCTATACTGTTAATATTTGTCACATTCTCTCTGTCTCTTTTCTTTCTCTTTCTCCATGTGTGCATGTGTATATATATCTGTGAGTTTCTGAATATACAAATATGTGTTTATACCTATAATATATATAACATTTTTGCTGCATAATCTGAAAGTTAGTTGCAGACATCATGATACTTCACCCTCAAATATTTTAACCTGCAGTGGTTGGTGTTTTAGACATGAACCATATCTTTTAAAACAATTTGGAAACATGTATCAAAACCTTCAAAGTATAAAACTGGCATAATAATTTCACTTGTAAGCATTTGTTTAAAATATATTTTATTTTCATTTGTCAACTTTGAGCCTACTTCTGATGACAACCAGATCCAGTTTAACATTGGTTTTTTATTTAGGATTCAACAGAAAAGTACTCACATAATTACAAAGGAGACATATAAAATTAATTTTAGCTTTTGACACCAAGGAAATACATATATGTTATAGCTTTTTTTGAGATGGAGTCTTGCTCTGTCGCCCAGGCTACTAGAGTGCAGTGGCGCAATCTTGGCTCACTGCAACCTCCGCCTCTCAGGTTCAAGCAATTCTCCTGCCTCGGCCTTTTGAGTAGCTGGGATAACAGGCACCTGCCACTGCGCCCAGTTAATTTTTGTATTTTTAGTAGAGATGGCGTTTAGCCATCTTGGCCAGGTTGGTCTCGAATTCCTGACCTCGTGATCCACCTGCCTCAGGCTTCCAAAGTTCTGGGATTACAGGCTTAAGTCACTACACCCAGACATGATAGCTTTTTTCTCCAGAATTTGTTCTTTCATTTGTTTATGTATCCCACTAATATGTACTGAGCACTTTACTATAGCAAAATAAATAAGATGTGGACTTCATTTCTAGAGGTTGTCATTATGAATGGCTTTTTAGGCCGCATCTAGAAATTTAGCCTTTTCTTAGATGAGGAAAAGAAGGATTTTAGATATAAATCTAATTTGAATTGTATTTTGGAAAGATCATCATGAATACAACTTATAAGATAGATTGAATGGGAAAAAGGTTTGTTAAGAAAAGTAGTTGGGAGGCTGCTGTGGTAATACAGGTGGTTGGATTCAGAACAGAGATAAGCAGATAGATTCAAGAGAAATGAACAAGAAAGAACTAATAGGAGAAGATTTGTTGAACATCTGATTAAATGAAAAGGAGGACTGAGGAGTTCCCTCCGGGTTTCTGGATTTGGGCTGCTGGGTGGGTGGTAGAGCCATCCCTGACTAGAGAACTAGAAACACATAGTTTAGGGAGGAAGGGGAGTGCACTCATGAGTTCAGTTTGGCGTATGTGAAATGTTAAATAGGCAGGAGACTGTGTGAGGTTCGATATGGACTTAGAAGACATCAGTGTATATTCAGCAGTTAATGTCATGGGAGTAAATAAAATCATCTAAGGAAGGCAAGAAGAAAATTGAGGCTGGATCTCTAAAAACCAGTTATATTCAACATTTAGTCAAATGAGGATGATGAACAGGAGCACTCAGAGAAGTAAGAAGTTACCCAGAAAAGAGTGGTGATAGAGAAGCTAAAGAAGGGCATGGTTTTAAGAAGGCAGAGTCACAATGATGCCCCACAGTTCGCAGAGGTCAAGAAGATAAGAACTGGAACAGTCCTTTGGCTTTAGCTATGAGGAAGTCAATGGTGACTTTTGTCTAGAGCAAGTTTCTCAACCTTGGCACCACTGACACATAGGGCTGAATAACTTTGCTGTGGCAGACAGCCTGCACATGATGGAAGAATGATTAGCAAAATCCTTAACCTATAAACATTAGATAACAGGACCAACCCCATTTTCCCTGTCCATCCCCCATTTGCGCCAACCTAAAGTGTCTGCAGACATTGCCGAATGCCCCTTGGGAAACAAAATCACCCCAAGTTGAGAACCACTGGCCAGAGTAATTTCATTAGAAAGATTAAAAATGAAGCCAGGTTGCAGCAGGTGCCATCAGGGCAGACACAGCCAGTCACGTCCTCCTGGGCTCTGGTCTCACCAACCTGTCCCAGCTGCTCATGTGGGATATGAACCTCTTCCTCCAAAAATAGGATGCAATATTTTGAGATGACAACTATTTCAGCTTCATAATCCTTTTGTTACACTCAGCACATTGCCAGTATCCATGAGAGGTATGGGTTTTTCATCCAAGACTGTGTTAAGGCATCAAACCTGGCCCTTGGAAAAGTTTTACAGCATTCCCAGGAGTGTGATGAAGGTGAGGAGTTAGGACCTGGAAATGTACAAAAAGAAATCTCATCTTCCCTTGACTGAGTTATCAAGGTATCAAGGAGACAACTTGAAAGATGATGGCTCATTCTGCTGCGACCCTCATCACACATCCCTTCCATGTGGTCACTCTGAGACCTATGGTACAATTCACTGGCAAAGGACCTAAGTAATGTGGACTTTGTGACTTCATAACCATCTATCAGGAAGAGAGAATCCTAGGGTTTTTTTCTAGGACTGGTTCCTTGTCTCCTAGGTGGCATAATTTCTTTGTGGCTATGTAGTTCACTGGCCTACCTCATCAATACCTATGCACTGGAAGGCAGGGCTTCTACCATGAATGAAATAAAGAGTTAGTCCCAAGCTGTCACAAGATTTTTGCTGGCATGTTGACCTGTCCCTTTGTGCTTGTCTCTAATCTTATGGCTGTCAACACTATGGTCTTTCTGGTGGATGCCCTCCTTACTCCCCAATATATACTTCATAGATAGATTGTCGGTGCATGCTACAAAAACAGGGAAATATGAGCCCAGGAAATAGCTCGTTTTTCTAGAAGTTCCCCTTTGGGAAGGCTTACTGTTGTGATTTAAAGATGTGGGGCAGAGACAGTGACATTTCTATAGTCCCAGATGCACAGAATTATGGAAGAAAATGTTGATTTCTACAGCGTGTGATGCACTTTTATAATAATCATTTAATGTCGGGGGAAAAACAGACTGCAAAGGGTTATGAGTGAGCAGGTAGTGCAAAGTGAAGTCAGAAGCTTAGCTGGAAAAATAGGAAGAGAGAGAGACAGTAACTAGAACAGAATGTATGATTAATGGATAATTTATTTTTTTTTAAGATGAAATAGGCTAGAGCGTGCTTAAATTGTGACAAGAAGATCCAACAAAAAACTTATATTTAAACGTGGCTAATAGATGGAGCAAGATCTCTAGGGAAACAGGAGAGAATGGGAGGCAGAGAATCCCCTGAACTGGTTTTTCTTAGGGGTAGCTTTGTAATGTTGAGAGGGACTCAGGACTTCCAAAGAATTTCCCTTTGTTCGCCTTTATTGTTTCTGAGAAATAGGGAACAATCTAGAGAGTGAGAAGAAAGTGGAAAAGCAAAGGCCCTATAGCAGTGAGAGTTGTTAAGTGGCCCTAATTGGAGCACAGATAATTCTTTTCAGGAGGCATTGACAATACAGTTGAAGTTGGAGTTCATGAACCGTCAGTGACAAAAATGCTCTAACGCCATTTCTCCCCCAGTAGTTTTCAGCAACCCAGGACAGATATGCAGGAGATTAATAATCAGATCGATCAAGACAATGGTTTTTGCCAGGTGAGTGTAATAGGCAGTCAATGTAGCAGGAAAGTTAAGGATTTAGGAAAGTTGGATCTTTTTTTTTCTTGTTTTGTTTTTGAGACAGGGTCTTGCTCTGATTCCCCAGCTGGAGTGCAGTGACACGATCATAGCTTACTGCAGCCTTGACCTCCCTGACTCAAGTAATCCTCCTACCTCACCCTCCCAAGTACCTGGTACCACAGCCACGCACCACCAAGGAAAGCTGAATCTTTAAGAAATGGATTACTCCAAATGCTCATCTGGAAGAACAAACCTGCAACATGACCTCCTATCATACATTTTATGTGTGATATTATTATATTATATTTTATATAATATATAATATATATTTTATATAATATACATTATATATTATATGATATATAAACATATATTATTATTCCATGGTTTAAAGGCTTCAAGTAAACAATAAGACAGAAAAATAGAAAATTTAGAAAGTAATTTATATAATCTAGAGAAGGAAGTTCTTCCTAAAAGCAAAACAGGACACCCAGAAATCATACATTAAAAGAGTTGTATTTAACTATATGCATTTTGAAACTTTTTTCATAGCAAATAAATGACACTATTAAACAAAGTTAAAAGGTAAAACACAGACTGCAGTGCATATGATAAAGAGCTCCCACAAATCAATAAGCAAAGCGCTAATATCCCAGAGGAAAAATGGGCAAATATGTAAACAATGTTATTACAAAGAAAAATTCAAAGGAAAATAAATATATAAAAATATATACAACCTAACAAGAAGTTAGATAAATGCCAATTAAAATATTGATGAGATTCCAATTTTTGCCCATTAAATTGGCAAAAATTAAAGGGTATGTTCAATTTCAGTGAGGAGGTAAGGGAATGAACGCATGGCTGATGGGATTGGAAATTGCCATTCTCTTTTGGGAAATTAATAGCAACATGTACTAAAGGGTAAAACACATACATATGAGAAAGCATTGCCAATATCATACAGCAACATTAATATGTGTATGTGTAAATATAAGTGTGTATGTATACACATAATATAAATACAAATATATAAGAATATTTATTGTAGCATTCTTAAATAATCACAAAAATAGGCTGATTGTCAAAAATAGGGAAATAATTGAATTAGCTACAAGACATTTATACAACAGAATATTATTGTAACTACTCAATGGGTTAACCTTGCCCAATTTATCAAGACAGAAAAATTGCAATAGAGAAAGTATTTAATCCACTCAGAGCTGCTATAAAGGAGACTGGAGTTTTATTATTACTCAAATCAGTCTCCCTGAAAATTCAGGGATCAGAGATTTTAAGGATAGTTTGGTGGGTAGGATGCTGGGGGTGGGGAGTACTGATTAGTTGGGTCAGAGATAAAATCACAGGGAGTCAAGGTGTCCTCTTGTGCTGATTCAGTTTCTGGGTGGGAGCCACATGTATCGATCTAGGTGGTTCCAGCTGACTTTGAATGCAAGATCTGCAAAATATCTCAAGCACAGATTTCAGGTTTTACAAGTGATGCTATCCCAAGGAGCCATTTGGAGGGGTTTGGAATCTTACAGTCTCCAACTGTGGAGATTTCTCATCTTGTGGCTAATTCATTAGTCCTGCAAAGGCAATCTAGTCCCCAGAGAGGAAGGGGGTTTGTTTTGGCAAAGGGTTGTTATCATCTTTGTCTCCAAGTTACACTATAAACTAAGTACCTCCCAGAGTTAGTTCGGCCTATGCCCAAGAATGAACAAGGATAGCTTGGAGGTGAGAAGCAAGGTGGAGGTGGTTAGGTCAAATTACTTTTACCGTCATAATTTTCTCAGTTACAATTTTTGCAAAGGCAGTTTCATTATGCTACTATAAATAGAACCGGTAGGCTCTACATTAGTTGACCTGGACAGACATTCAGATGAAATATTAAGTGAAAGAAAACAAGTTTCAAATGTATGTGTATCGGGCGATTTCATCAACGTGCATACATGGAACATGCATTTATGTTTATTTGTATGAGCATGAAGAAAAATAGGCATAGGACCATAAATCAAACCATGGCTGATGGGACTACAAATTGCCATCCTCTTTTGGGAAATCTCTTTTTAGGAGTAGAAATGGATTGGATGGGGTAAGAAAAGATTGTCAACTTTTTCTCTATAAATGTTATGTTGATTTCAAAGCATGCTTCACGTTAATAATTTTTTTTAAATTGATTTTAAAAATACAAGACTAAAGCATGAAATGGTAATTCACAAACTGTCAAGAAAGCATCAGATATCGGTGATGATCGATTCTCATTTTTCTATGTAAGTGTAATATATAGAAACATTGTTAAAATGAAAGCACATTATCACATTTCACTACTTAACAAAAGAATTGCTTTCATGTCAGAGGTCTCAATTTGTGCCTGAGTAGTTTCTGTCACCATAGGACTCAGACATGTCTGGGCACGTGTAGAGGCTATGGGGTCAGGCCCACTGGGGGTTGATTTGCATGAGGGAAGACTAAGGAGCCTCCTAAGAAAATCCCATCTTAAACTAGAATTGGACATACGTTTTTGGTCAAACAGTATTGAAACGGGTGGCATGATTTTAAGCACAGCATAAAGACAAAAGGTAAACATCCTAACTATTTAATGTATTCCAACCCAATCCCTGTCTGGGTTCTAGGACCAGGGATAGCTGTATTAATTGAAGTGATAGACTCCACACAAAAATATCTCTGAGATGCTGAAGAGACAAGATTAAGCAATTTGGGGACCTGTGTAGGAAGTGTGGTACTCAAGAGGGCGCCAGCCTGGTAGGATTTCAGGGGCATTCAGCAGGGGCAGGGGCTTAGGAAAGGACACGGGAGGCAGAGGGAATCCCTTCTACATTCTGCTTTATTCACTTGACATTAATACTGCATGTTTCTCTCCATTTCTATAGTCTTATCTGTCATTTTTAATGAATAAATACTATTTCTTTGATATATATGTATCAATATTTATTAACCTCTTATCTTTTTTTAACTGTTTGAGTTCATTTGGACTGCTATAACAGAATACTACATACTGAGTGGTTTATTAAAAACAGAAATTTACTTCTCATAGTTCTGGAGACTGGGAGGGCCAACATCAAGGTGCCAGCAGATTCAGTGTCTGGTGAGGGTATCCTTCTTGGTTCATAGACACTTGCCTTTTTTCTGTGTCCTCACATGGTGGAAGAAGCAAGGAACCCTCTGAGACCTCTCTTCTGAGGACACTAATCCCAATCATGAGGACTCCTCCCTCATCACCTAATCACCTCCCAAAGACCTCACCTCCTAATTCCATTCCCTTGGGGGTTAGGATCTCAATGGATGAATTTCAGGGGCAGGGCATGAACATTCAGGCCATAGCATCTACTATTACAGAACTTCGTATATATAGCTGTGTTTTGATGTTCAATTATTTTCTTAAATTCCCAAAAGAATACACTGACAAGTTCAAAAGATTTCAACATTTGCATATGTATAGTGATACATTAGACATAGTCATATTGTTTTTCCCAAGCTTTGAAGCAATTAACATGCCATCGGCAATGCTAAAGCTATTAAGATTTTGTCACAGATTGAACAGCTGGGTTTTATCTTTTGCATTTAACAAATATTTATTGAGTATCTGCTATCTACTATGGCCAGCCAGTCCTCAGCATATTTCCTTCCAAGTTCCCATGTGGCTTTCTGAGTCCTAGGATGACAGTCTTTAGGACTTACTGTTCTATAAGCACCGTGCAAAAAATTTACTCGTAGCCTAGAAAAATCCACCCGCCATGGGATCCTGTTTTCCCTATTAGGAGGCCTTCTATTTTCCAATGGCTGTTTGGGAGACACTGCCTCCATCTTCTCCTTTACCTGCAAAAGCAGTTTCCCTCCTTGCCACTCAGATTGATTTTCTAGGATAGCTCTTCCCATTCTTTCTATATCCAGTGCTGTTTCTTCTCTCAATGTTTCCTTCCTTTCTACCTCCTGGAGTAGAGGACCCTCCTGGAGAGACAGAAGTCCTGGGTAACCACGTCCTGCCATATCCTAGGATCACTGTGATTCCCCGGTCCCCAGAGCCCCCCAGACCTGGGTGAGAGTCAGGTCAGCTGCACTTTCCCTGTGCCCAAGCAGGTCCCCAAAACACTAGCCCTGCTCCCTCCTAGAAGCTGATCTTCCCATGTCCTTCCCGCAGCCTGCACTTTGGGAAGAACTGGTCCACTACATTCAGCTCTCCAGTAAGAGATTTCACCACAGAGGATAGCCTCTGTTTGTCATGTTGGATGTGATTCTTTCCCATCTGCTGACCTAATTTACTTGGTTCTTGCTATTGCTCATGTGTTTACAATCCTTTATGTGGCCAAATTTCTCAGTCTTTTTCTTTGTGATTTCTTTTGACACTTCAAAGTAAAATTGTTTTTTAAAAAGGACAGTGTTTCCCCTTCCACAAACACTCCCTTTGTGGAAGCTGTTTTTCTCTATCCTGGATTTCCCATCTGGAGTCCCCTTCCACACTATCTCATGGAAACCTGTCTTCCCCTCCTAAACTCCATCTCTCTCTTTACTCCCTTCCACTCAGTATGGAAGCTGCTTTCCTCTCCTGGATTCCATCTTTCTGGATTCTCTCATTCAGTGTGAGAGTCAGCTGTTTCTCTCTCCTTCTCCTGTTTCTCTCTAAATAAACCCCTTTCTACAAAAAAAAAAAAAGACTGTTTTCTCCAAAGATCTGACAATCAATAACTTATATTTCCTGCAATATTTTCTATTATCTAACACTTTAGCCATATGAAATTTATTTTAATTATGAGGTATTAAATTGCTGTATTAAATTGATTTTTTCAAAAAGAGATGTATCTAAGAATGCTAAACAATGTGTATTAAATAATTCCTTATTTTCACTGTTTTTTTAAGATGCTTCTTGTTACCTGTTATATTCTGATATGCAATATGCTTATTTCTGAACTATGCTGTTCCATTTAACTATATGCTTATTGGGAGAAGATATACCTCCATTTGTCGTTCTCTTTGCAAAATACTAGTTCATACACTTAGTTGAGCATGGGGGTGGTAAGTGCTAAATAGATGACATCTTTTTTGCAAATAAAAATTATAATTATGTTAAGTTCAAATATCCTATTGAGATTTTTGAGGTGAACTATAGTCAAACTATAAATTTGTTGAATAAAATAGAAGGCTTTCTGATTCATCATTATTTCAAGGACAATAGTACACCCTTCCGTTCATCTTCTCTAATATTAGTCAGTAGAGTTTTATACTTTCATTTCTATTAGATAAGACACGCAACTCTTTCATAAGAATTCTTATTGTTAAATAATTTAGATAATATATTATTCTGGGACAAATAAAAGGACCCCTGGTATGTATTTGTATACACTACATTCATCTGTATACTTTATTGATACCTACAGTTATTTTATTTTTAGATTATTTCTTTTAGTTTTTAAAAGTGCACAATCGTAACATCTAAAAATGGTATTTTAATTTTGTCTTCCAGTATTAATTCTTCTGAGTTTTTAAAAAATATTTTCTTGCATTGACCACAACTTCCAAAGCAATGCCAAACCCATAGGAGAATGGTTGCCTTGGTTTTCTTACTGATTTGAAAAGGAAACTTCCAAACAGGAGGAAGGAAAGGCGGCTTTGGAATAAGACTTGAAGGCTTCTTAATGCTGATGGGCATTTTACAAGCTAGAAATCCAGAACAAATTCCACAACTCCCCGAATCCCAGTTTCTTCACCAGGAAGTTGAGGATATGAATACATCTCACAGTGTCATAGGAACAACTGAGTTATCATCTGCAAAGCACCTGGCACTCAAGGCAGACACAACATTTTACTTTTATCTAGTAATAGAGGTGAGATTTAAAGCCAGATCTACCTGACTTCAGGCCCACACCAATAACCCTGTGTTCTGCAGCCTCTTCAGGAGGAATTTCATTTGTGTATAGGTCACGCCCATGTATGGAAACAAACACAGCCACAGATATCTCGGTCTATCAGCCACAGCAAAATAAACCCTGAACACTAAGCTACCTCTGTGAATACACCAGCTTTCCTTCATGCACAGCATCATGTACGGACTTGAATGTCTAAACTCTGACAGGCCTGGACAACACGGTGAAACCCCATCTCTACCAAAAATACAAAAAAAAAAAAAAAAAATACGCAGGCGTGGTGACAGGTGCCTGTAATCCCAGCTTCTCAGGAGGCTGAGGCAGGAGAATCACTTGAACCTGGGAGGTAGAGGTTGCAGTGAGCTGAGATGGCACCATTGCACTCCAGCCTGGTGTCAGAGTGAGACTCCATCTCAAAAAAAGAGAAAAGAAAAGAAATGTCTAACCTCTATCCAGTAAGTACAAATTCCAAGGTAGTGGCTACCTCTAACAAGGGGAGGTCAGAGATGGGGTGTGAGGATAGAGGAAAAATATAAAAATAAATGAAAGTCATTGATACTATTATAGTACTTAGGTTGGGTGGTGGTTTCACAGGTGATCATTATATTATTATACTTTATAATGTACAGGTATTTTAGTGTCCTAACAGTATACATTAAGTTGTATACAAAATATTAAACAAAGCCAAAAAAAGTCTCTGGCCAAATTTAAAAGACCATGAGTATGTAATTAACAATTCCTGGCCAGGCACAGTGGCTCAAGCCTGTAACCCCAGCACTTTGGGAGGCTGAGGTGTGTGGATCACAAGGTCAGGAGTTCAAGACCATCCTGGCCAAGATGGTGAAACCTTGTCTCTACTAAAAATACAAAACTTAGCCAGGCGTGGTGGCAGGTGCCTGAAATTCCAGCTACGCAGGAGGCTGTGGCAGACAATTGCTTGAACCCGGGAGGCGGAGGTTGCAGTGGGCCAAGATCCTGTCACTGCACTCCAGCCTGGGCAACAGAGCGAGACTCCATCTCAAAAAAAAAAAAA